ACTTGACAAATAAGGGTGAGGTAAAATTTACAGTGAGGGCTTTCAAGGGAAGGCGAGAAAGGATGCATGAGCAAGGATGGTGTTTTATCCCAAGACACCAGCAACAGACACCACGAGTAGAAGAGGGGAAATGAGAGGGAGGAGGAATTTGGGTATAAAAGATGAGTTGGGCTTGGGGCATACTGAATTTGCAATGCCTGTTTAGAAAATCCAGGGGAGATGAGCGCCTGGGTGGCTCAGTAATTTAAGCATCCTACTCTTGATTTTGGCTCGGGTCATGATCTCACAGTTCATCGGATCAAGCCCCATGTCAGGCTCTGCACTGACAGCATGGAGCCTGCCTGAGATGCTGTCTTTCTTCCTCTCTCTCTGCCCCTCTCCCGCTCATGTGCTCACTTTCTCCTCTGTCACTCAAAATAAATAAATATTAAGAAGAGAAGAAGAAGAAAACCCAGGGAGAGCCCATGTAGGCTATACAAAACATGGGTCAAGAGCCCAAGAAGGAGATGAGGGTCTAGAGATAAATGTTTGCGACCAGTTAGCTTTTGAGTGGCAGATAAAGCTGTGGGTGATGAGATCATCTAGGAGAAAGAAAATGGAAGGCTAGGGAACACCAGCATTTGGGTCATAGAAAAGGTGAAGGGATCCTATGACGAGGGTGAGGAGGCAGGGTCAGGCCGGTGTAAGAGGAGATGCAGGAGGAAATGACCCAAGGAAGCCAAGGGACATAGCAGTTTTAGGGAAATAAAAATGGTAAGGGTCAAATGTCAGCTAGAGTTGCCTCTTGGAAGCTCGTGCTGGGCTAGATGCTCTGGAGAAAAAAATGCTTTTTAGATGATTTTCTTTTCCCAGTACCATAAGTGTTCAAGAGCTGTTGAGATGTAGTGATGTCTCCATGGTCCTCTGCTGACTGCATGCCTGCTTCTGAGCACGGTGCTCAGTTTGTCCTCCTTGACCCTTGGACCGCCATATTGCTATGCTGTGTGCACAGTATCCAGGGCCACAAGAGAAAGAGCCAGGGATAGTACGTATTCGCTGAATGCTTGGTACTGACTCTGGAACCAGAGAGATGAAAGCTTAGAGTACTATTTCTCAGTGTGTTTTAATTAAAGTTCTCTTTTTCATAAACAAGAAAATCCCCTGTCCTTTGCAGAGAAACTGATCCATTCCCTTTAGTAGAACAGAGTACTCTGCATTCTTAGAGATTCTCTGTTCTCTGAACTCCTGCTGGCTAATAGCTAACAATAATTATAAGGGAATATTTATTGAGCATATAATATGTTGGAGGCAATGTGTTAAGTACTTACCTACTTTATGTAGATTAACTCATTTAATTTTCACAATAGCCCTTACCAGATAGGAAAATATTATTACCCCCATTTGACAGGTGAGGAAATTAAGGCACACAGTGACTTAAAGTTACTATGCTGATACCTGGCAGAATTTAGATTCACGCTCCAGCCTGCAAACCTCCAAATGCTTTTCATTGCTCCTGTGGCATCTGGCCTTTCCAGATGGGATCATTTTTAGAAACATTAGGGAGGATCACAATTTTCTAATTAAGGGTTGTACTATATTATTAGACAGAAAATTTCAGATTATATATCCTTCTTCCAAAAATTACTACACCTTTCTTTAGTCAGTATCCCCTCCCTTTTGCTCTCACTCCCCATGCAGGCGGAGAGTCCTGGCGTAAGCCGATGAAGCTGTGTTTGATTGTGAGCACAGGGAGGAAGAACTACAAGGAGAGAATGACTGGTTTATCTGTCACAGCATCTCTGTGAACAGAGTGTCTTCATAAAGTGTGTGTACAAGTCAAATAAAATGCTATACTGATGGCTAGATGTCGTGCAGTTATCATCCTGCGTAATCTGCCGTGTAGCAAAAATGTAAGTCCTGATTTCTAAGTCCTATTTCCCCTTCCTTCCTGGAACCAGATGTATTCAGTGTCCAGCTCGAGCCCCTGCCCATGAACAGTCGCAGTTGCTAACGCTGATCATTTCATCACTTGCTGCTGGCACAGGGGAAGTCTATTACTGCTCACTTGGACTTCCCATACTCATCTTTATCGTCATTCTCTGAGGGACATTTCCTGAACTCTCAGTATTTTCTAAGACCTTATGTTCTTATCAAAACCCAGGAAGAAATCAAGGGAGCATATACAGTGCGTGTAATTTGGGATGTCGTACTAGACTTGGCAGTATTACCTGAAAGGTACCATCACGAAGTCAGCAGCAAGCAATAGGAAAAAGAGAGGGTCAGGTAACCCATCATCGTTTTTAAAGATTGAATTTCAGACTCTTGAGATCTGACCAACTTAAGTTCTGGAAACAGGACCAAAAAATCATTGTGACGTAGTATTAATTTCAAAGGAGCCAAAGTCTTGCATTTATTCAGTTAATACTTATTGGATATAGACTATCTGTCAGACACTTGTTAGGTGTAGAATATTAAGAGCTCAGTAAAACTTGATGACTGTCTTTTAGGGAATAACACACATTTTTAAAGTATTTATTTTTGAGAGAGACTTACAGAGAACAAGTAGGGGAGGAACAGAGATAGAAAGAGACACAGAATCCGAAACAGGCTTCAGATTGTGAGCTGTCAGTACAGAGCCTGACACGGGGCTCAAACCCACAAACCATGAGATCATTACCTCAGCCAAAGTTGGACACTTAACGAATTGAGCCACCCAGGCCCCCTAGGCATTGGCATTCTTAAATCATGGTTAATATTATATACATACTTATAGCCACTATGTTTGGTAAGTATAGTAAAACCCCAGTATTAACTCTAGTATAGGGGGCAGAGTGTAACGGTTGATTATAGGCTTTCCATGGACAGAAGGAAAGGCTGAATTACAGGTCTTACGGAAAACCAGTCTCCTTTCTTTAGACAATTAACTTTACTGGTTTGATTTTGTTGATGCTATAAAATCTACAGAGAAAGGGTTTACCTAGATTACACACATATTTATGTGTATATATGTATATCAGTGTGTATAAAAGTTATAGTTCACATGTCTGAAAGTGACAGACGTGAAGGAAGTAGAAGTTTTTCAGTCATGTAAAGGAAATCCAGAGCTAGGCAGTAGAGCTGTATAAGGCTCCAGCATGTACGGGATTCGGGATAGAGCTTTCATCTCATGGTCCAAGATGGCTGTGTTAGCGCCGGTGATCAGATTTGCATTCCAATCTGAAGGGAGGTGAGGGGCAAAAGAGTATATGTGTTCTTCTCTTTTAAACACTTGCTCCTAGTCACACATGTCACTTTGATTTTATCTAAATGGTCAGAACCTAGATACATGTCTGCACTTGGTAGAAAGAAAGGCTAAAGCAATACAGTCTTTACTTTGAGTGGCCTTGCACCCATCTGAAAACATGGGGGTCTATTGGAAATAAGGGGAGATGAGATAGTGGAGAACAGTTAGTATTCTCCCACAGTCTCACCCTTTGTGAGACTCAGCTCTTACTGCTGAGTACAGAGTTTACCCACCCAAGCCCTCTCCATTTACCCTCTCCTTTTGTATATCTATGGTTTATGGTTGATGCTGTCCTTTTCAGAAGGTCTAAATGCAGCTGAAAAGTCCCCATTTAAAGTAGAGTAGAAAAAAGATCATAAATTTTTAAAAGTCCCATTTAAAAATGGGGGAATGGGGAAGCACCTAACAGCTGTTATTCACTGGGCATTAGTGAAGCCTGCCTTGTAGAATCATGAAGACGTTCTGCCCTGGCACGGAAGGGCATGCTCTGTTACCTCATCTAAAGAGCCCTGACATCCCTCTGGGAGGGGACGGGCCTCCTAGCTGATTGTCCTCCACTGCTGTGGTCTGCAAGGCCGTATCTGAGTTGGGCATTAGAGAGAATGCTGTTCTGGATGGATTCTGATGCTTCCATGCCTGCCTCCTTCGGTTGCTGATTTCAGACCTGGAAGTTGCATTAAGAGTAGTACAGATACATACGATGCAGACCATCCTGGTGCGTCTTTTGTAGCCCTCTTCCCTTAAAAATTTAGTGTGCTTCCCATCTATTTTTTCTTGTCAGTTCTACAAACAAGTGTAGTCAAAAACCATGTCTGGACATAGCACTGAACCTGAAGACTCTATATTTTATTTATTGGCCTCTATCCTGTGCCCTTCTCCCCCAACTCTGAGTTTAGTGATGACTCCCTGGAGGAATCATCCTGGCTTTCCAGCCTGTAGTAAGAGTACTTCCTACCTGCTGCACAGGTAAACTAATGCCATTATTTAGGTTCTGTTCCTTGTAGTATTTAACTTTAGGTAGATTTCATCTGGGCTGCAGATGACCAAAAACAAAAAAACACTATCTCAAACAAGGTGGGTGTATATTACTCCATCACATAGGAAAAACAATATTCAGTAGGTAGTCGTGTGGTGGTGGTGGTGAGGTGTAGCAAGGACCCAGGATTCGGTCTTGTTGCTCAGCTAACAAGCTGAGCCCGTTCTGTGTCACAGTCCATGGTGGCTGCTTTATATTCATCCATTAAGTCCACCTTATAGTAGTAAAAAGGAGAAAGAGAAAGATATACCTCCCCTTCCCTGCCTTTAAAGCTTCAGTCTTTGAGCCGTAGGTGACACTGAAGTCATGCCGCTTTGACTAGAAGATGGCCATCTCGGGGTGCAAAGGAAACTGGGAAATAATAGTGTTTCTTCTAGACGTCCATGTATCTAGCTAAACATCTGTTTCTGAGGGGGATGCAGGGAATGGATATGGAGGGGCCACTACACGCACTTAAAAAAAATTATTTGAGAGAGTGTGAGTGGGGGAGGGGCAGAGAGAATTCCAAGCAGGCTCCACAGGGCTGGAACTCAGGAACCTGAGCCAAAACCAAGCCGAGGAAGCTCAACCGACTGGGCCACCCGGGCTCCCTACATGTACTTTTTAAAGAGTTCTCGTGCCCAGTTTGAGACCTGCCCCTAAAACGATTAAATTTGTTGTCCTAATTCTAAGCATCTGATTTTTTCCTCTCGGGCCTCATACCTGGTCTTGCACATGAGCCGACCGGTCGTCTCTAATTTTTACCGTTGTGGTGGTGACGGCGGCTTCAGTCTTGGCTCCACACAGCCTTAGACACTACGGCACGTTCTGGCGTGTTATCAGTTGTCGGCTTTGAGTGATTATCAGAAAAACACCATTTTACGAAAGACTTAACGAAATGTTACTTCTAGGGTTTTTTTCCTTCTTTCCAATATCAGACAAGAGCCATGTCCCCTCAGTGTTTCTCTCGTCCTGGACGTCGTGGGTGCACGGAGGCGGCGGCTGCCCCGCGCCCCGGAGCCCGGAGGCATTTCCGGTGGCCCTGTACCGGCTGGGCCGTGTGCTGCCGCCTGCCCGCCTCCGTCTCGCGAGATCACAGGCACCTGCCAGGTCTCGCGTGGGTTTCGGACGCGCTGCTCGAATCCCTGGGAATAGAGGCGAGAAGACGACCGTTTTTGTTGTATTCGTCTGCGCGGACGTACTTCCCACCCGGTATTTGCTCTGATTTGTGTGGCGTCTGTCGCAAGGAAGTGCCTCCGCCTTTATTCATTGTTAAGTCTCTGAGATTCTTACAGGAATTTCCTCCTGATAAATTAATCTTTTCTGATCAATGAAATCAGTGGTTTCTCATTAATAGGCTTTAAAATGGACAGATTTGTCTTCTCTCGTCATTTAGAGAAAATTGGTTTTAGTCCAGCCATGGCAATGTCGATAAGAACAAACATTAAGCTTTTTTTTTTTTATGGAAAATACCGTTTTAATTGAACTGTGCAATAATGACTCTTTTTCGTATGCTTTTACTAATTTATTATGATTCAGTCTTTTTAATTGTGTGATTGGAAAATGGATTATTCTTTGCAAGTTTTTTCCCTGGAAAAAATGTCACTGTCCCGTTTGTTCTAACTCAGATCAACTGTTCTAATTGGGTTGTATTATTTTCTCTCAATTTTAAGTAAGTTGTGCTTTCAAGAATCATGATATAATTAAAATTTTAAGAGTGTTTTTCTACTTAGAAAATAGATTATATCTTAAAAAACTTTTATAGTATAATTGCCTGAATTTTTAACTTAAAATGATATTAGAAAACTAAGTTTAATAGAAAACTCTTGAGAACTTTAAGAATCCTGGTACACTGAGAGCTGAACAACAAAACAAAGCAACTGTTGACTAAATTTTAATGACTTTTAAAACAATAAAAGACATAAGAATATTTTCCGTTTTTATTGGCAATAATAAATCCCCATTTTTTCCCCAAGTAAAAAACAACAAAAATAGGCAGATTTACAGCCCTAATATAAAAATGTTTACCCTGAGAGTCATGACGTGTGTGTGTGTGTGTGTGTGTGTATGTATTTATTAGTGCACACTTTCTTCAAATAATAGTTACATTAATTACTAATACTTGTTCAGCATTTAAAATGTTTCAGTCACAGGGCACCTGGGTGGCTCAGTTGGTTAAGTATCTGATTTTGGCTCAGGTCATGATCTCACAGTTGGTGAGTGTGATCCCCACGTCGGGCTCTGTGCTGACAGCTCAGGGCCTGGAGCCTGCTTCAGATTCTGTCTCTCTCTCTCCAACTCATGCTGGATCTCTCTCTCTCTCCCTCTCTCAGAAATGAATAAACATTAAAAATAGGTATACTAAAATGTTCCAAACACTCACTGTTCACATTGGTTGGTTTGTAGAAACTCCTCTAATTCCTGCAGCAGCCCAGAGAGGCTGACTTCCAGGTTTTACAGATGAGGGTGCGAAGCACAACGTGGGTGGAGGTGGGTAGGTAGCAGGTGGTAGCAAATTGGAGTCCAGGTCGCCTAGTAGCAGAGCTGGTGCCTTTTGGCTTCCGGGCTGTCCCGTGACACACGCTGAGCTGTAATTACTGCTTGGGCAGTGGCTTGTAGACCAGTGCCCCCCGGCACCCTTCCCGTCACCAACGTGGGAGGTTATTACCCAAGTCAGAAGTGAGCACTTAGGAACCTTTACAGGAACGTAACATTCGCAAGACATCAACTTTGCGATATGTTTCGAGTAATTCACTTCAGTAGTTGTGTTTTTAAAAGGTATCCGTCGATAATGAATTGGAGGGGAGACTGGTTCTTAACCACAAATAATTCAAGAAGCACCACTCTGAGTGCCTTTTATGGCACTTTAGGTTCTTTTAAATTCATAATTGTATTTACCTCTCACAATAACCCTGCAAAGTGCAAGGTGCTATTTTCATGTCTAAGGTTGATAAACTAACGATCAGAGAAGGTATACATATGGTAGATCTGGAATTCAAAGCCTGATCTTGATTCTAGAAAATCTAGAAACTACATTCTACATGTCTCTTGTGACAGTCATATTGGAATTTTTTTTTTTAATGTTTATTTTAGAGAGAGACAGAGTATGAGTGGGAGTGGGACAGAGAGAAACAAAGACAGAATCCGAAGCAGGCTCCAGGCTCTGAGCTTTCTTTCAGCCTAGAGCCCGACGCGGGGCTCGAACTCACAAACCCCGAGACCATGACCTGGGCTGAATTTGGATGCTTCACCTACTGAGCCACATGGGTGCCCCTGGAACGTTTTTTTAAAGATTTATTTTTATTTTTATTTTTGAGTAGTCTCCACACCCAGTGTGGGGCTCAGACTTACATCCCAGAGATCATGAGTCACAGGCTCCACTGACTGAGCCAGCCAGAAACCCCCATATTGGAACATGTAATTACCTATGTAAATCCATTAAAACCTTTCAAGATTTTTTTCCTTTTTTGCCATTTATCTTTATAAAGGAGAATTTAGATTGAATCAGTATTTTAAAATTGTTTGAAGACTCTTTAACCCGAAAAGGAATAGTACAGCATGGTCATTTATTAGCCCTTTGTTAAGATATTATTTTTATTGCAACGTATCAGAGGCAGTTTTTTAAATATGTATCAGCAACCGTAATTAGCAAGTATTTCTTAGAGTGGGCAATCCAGATCTTTTTACTGCTACTTCTGATTGTAGTGGCAGAATGTGAGTTTGCATTTCCTCAGTTTCCTCATCTGTAAAATAAAAAGGATGAGCTAAATGATTTTAAATTCCAGCCTAACTCAGAACTCAAAACGTCTTTGATTTCTGTTCCTTTTTTTTTTTTCCTTAACTTTCTCTGGGTGAGTTTTGTTCTTTTCTACTTTTCAGTAATTGATGTTCTCCAGAACCCCCCACCCCCACCCCCAGGCTGCATTTTCCTCTCCGCCTCTGTACTTTATTCTTCCTCATGCCCACTTTCTCTGCAGAACCCTCTCCCCTGCTGTCTGCCTCCACTTTCCCCACCCTCCTTCTACTCCTTGATCCGCTGACCTGGTTTCTACTCACTCTTGTCAAATCCCTAACAGTGGACTCCAGCAGGCACCCTTCCAACTTTAGTTTTCTTCTCTCTTAGGTTGGCCAAACCCCCTCCTCCTTGAATCTCTTTCAGCCTCCGTCAGTCCTTCCCCCTCCCTCCCTCTGGCCCTCCGTCCCCCCCCCCCTCACATTTGTCCTGCCATCTGACCTGACTGGCTTCTCAATGAGAACTTTCCACTCGGGTGTCCTCAAGCGGTCAGTCTCCGCCTTTCATACTTACTCTTTGTGCGCTGCTCTTTATCGTAGGAAAAGGCCCCACTGTCCATCCAACCAAATCAGAAGCTTTGTTTTGGGGACGTTTTTGTTTTTTGGACTTCCTCTCACTTTTTTCCAACCAATCTAGTTTGTCCCCAGGTCCCCTGAATTTGATCTGCATATATATACACACACATATGAGTGTGTGTGTGTGTGTGTGTGTGTGTATTTTACAAAAATTCTCCCACAGTTACCCCATTACTTCCAGTATAGGAAAGAATAACAGGGGTACCTGGGTGTCTCAGTTAAGCATCTGACTCTTGGTTTTGACTCAGGTCATGATCTCATGGGTTGTGAGTTTGAGCCTCACATAGGGCTCTGAGAAGACAGCGTGGAGCCTGCCTGGGATCTTCTCTCTCTTTCTCTCTCTCCGCCCCTGTCCTGCTTGTCTCTCAAAATAAATAAACCTAAAATAAAAAAGAAAGAAAAACAAAGGCAATTATACCACCTACCGCTGACTGATTTGTACTGTCAGGAATTTTGCAACCTGTACTACATGCATGATCTCCTTGTAGTTCATCTGCATTACGGTACTTAGCACATTGTTCTCTGTGAATGGGCCTCCCCGCTGGAGACTCGCCCTCCCCCATAGAACTTCATGAGGCTTTCCATGTGTATGTACCCTCATCACCTGACACAGTGCCTAACAGATAAACCCATTCATTACCGCTTTGTTGAATGATCTCTGTTGTGCTCATCACAGGACTCGCCCAGAGGATATGGAGAGTCTTGAAGAATCTTATAGTAGGAAAGACCAAGACAGAAGAGGTTTTGCTGGTTTGGGAAGAATGTGGTCCTAGGTCAGGTCAAGGGAGCCAGAGGTCCCATTACCTGGCACAGCCACATCTGTCGCATCCTGAAACGGCATCGACACCTAAACAGAGCAGGACTAGGGAATGGTCGGAAATAACTGCCTTCGTGGTTTGTATATTTTGCAGGTAGTAGCCTCCTAATGTAGCCTCTTATTAGCAGCCTCTCGCCTGCACGTGCCATGTTTTAAGACAAAATCATTGTATTCCACAGAAAATAGTCCTAGAAAGGCAGTTGCCTCCCTGGCTCTGGTTTGTCTAATTCTTCACTGCTGACCCTTCAGTGAAAGACCGTGCTTATTTCGTTATTATTGGGAGACACCATGTTCTCCCATGCTCTCCATATTTCTTAAGTTATCAACTCTCACACGACCTGTGTTGAGCAGCAGAAACTGTTCCTCTTAATTCCTTTTCTTGGGCGTTTAATTTAAAATATATAAAATTTAATGTAATCCCTCTGCCTCTGAGATGTTTTAAACGGTATAAACTGAGGTTACAAACACTTCGGGTCAGGTTACCACAGGAGTTTGACATTTATATGAATAAGAATAATACAAGAGTTACGAAAGCTAATACAGAATTGTAAGGGCTATCAGCTCCACACTTGGGATCGTAAATTGATTGCCAGCAGGGGTCAAACAGGAGTCTCTGCTTTCTCTGCACAGTCTCCCTTGGGTAAGCCACTGTCAGGATTTGGCGCACCGGCAGAAAGGGCAGAGTGATTTTATACCTTCTTCCAATAAATTGCCGGCATATTCACTGCTTACAAGATCTGTGGATTAATAGCACTTCTATTTAGACAGCTAAACACAGAACCCAAGATTATTTTTCCAGAAGTAATATCAGCCAAGGGAAATAAATCAAGTAATTT